CATTCCCTGGTCTAAGGGGAAAAAAAAAAAAAGCTGAAGGAATCCAGTTTTCTAACTTCATTCCAGGTGATATATAATGTCTCCGTAACCAAAAATGAAGAAAAGGCACAAGGAATACATTTATGGGCAGTTAAATTCATGGAGGATCTTTCAGGGGGTGGCAGCAGATGGGTCCTATGCTGTCTGCTTAGGACAGCCTGTCATTGGAGGCAGTCATTTGTGTGCTTTGGAGTACATGGGGGAATATTTTGGGAGCCAGAAATGTTGGACTTTGGAACTGAGAAAGTAGAGCAAACCAAAATTGGATTGAGCCAACAGCTGCTCCACAAGCCATTTGAATTGTTCCAGGATCCTACCCTCTCCTAGCCACAACTTTCTTTGCCCCATGACTCTGGCAGGTCTAGCTCCAAAGTCCAGGTCTCACGCTTTCTTTTGGAACCCTCTGCATGGGATCACAATTTATCCAACATGTGATAAGCGACCATGTATTCCACTCTGAGATCCCCACCAAGGACTTCATGAGAAAAGGGAAATTGTGGAGAGCTAGACTGGAAGAGCCCCTGCTAAAGGGAATGCTAAAGAGGATGATGGTTTCAGAAGGCCAAGCAGACAGTGAGGGAGATAAACAAGGGAAGAAGGTGATGGTGAGGAAGGGGATGGAAATGCAAGGAGGCTGCTGGGGTAGCTATGGCAAAGGGCATCGAAAATGATATGACAACATTGATACCAATGAGGATGCCAAGACAGCAAGGAAAGGAAAAATAAGCCAGGCATGGTGGTACAGGCCTGTAATCCCAGAGACATGAGAAGCCGAGGCAGGAGGATCACAATTTGGAGCCTCACATGTTAGCAAGACTCAGCAGTATGGTGAGACTATGTCTCAAAATCAGAAAATGAAAAGGAGCTGGGATGTAGCTCAGTGGTAAAGCACCACTGAGTCAGGTCCCCAGCACCAAAACCAGAAAAACAAAAAGAGAAAGAAAGAAAAGTTTTTTTAAAAATCTTAAAAGTCGTATGACCTGGTCATCCTTCACTTGCTGTTTTAATCTAAAGGTGGTCACTTCCCTGTAGAGAAGCCCACTCGCACAGTTTGGTCAGCAAACCAGCAGATGTAATGTGCTCTGCCACCATTCAACCAAAACCATAATGCGAATTGCAATACAGAAGGGTCCTACCTTTTTTTTCTTTTTCCTTCAAAATACCTTAAAAAAGAAAATTTACATTTTATATTTTTTACACTTCCATAGGGTCAGGCATTTTTAATGATCACAGATAACCAAACCAGCCTTCAGACAGTTCTGATTTTATTGTGGTGTGACCATGTTCATTATAATCACAAAGGAGGGAAAAAAATGAAAACAGGGGCTGCAATGGCCCAAACCTGTATCCCAGCAATTCAGGTGGCTGAGGCAGAGCATCCAAAGTACTCCTGGGCAATATGGCCAGACCCTGTCTCAGAATAAAAATAAAAATCAAAGTCTTAGGATGTCATGCAGTGTTAGTGACCCCTGGTTCACTCCTCAGGAGCAAAGGGACAGGAAGTATTTTATTCCCAGCATTCCATTAACTATAGTGTCTCTGTACTGAGCTGGACTACAATTAAGACAGTTTGTATGAGGTATTCTTAAAGGTCAAAGATAAGAGGTTTTTTTTTTTTTCTTTTTTATTGTCTATAAAATCATTATCTATTTTTAATTTGTTGGTGCATTGGTGTGGAAACATGTTGTCCAATATTATACCAGAATTTTATTTTGGTGAGTTCTTCTAACAGTCAAATTAAAAGGTTGGCCTTAGATTGATTTCTCCGGCTTTTACTTTTTCCCCAATAATTCAACATTCCCATCAGCTTTATTTCCTTCTTTTCTCAGTAGCCTGAATTCATACCAGGAAGTGAACTTTCGTCCCCTCCTCCATCAAACTACTTCCAAAAACCACCTGGACACACATCCCCACACCCCACCCCACTGCACCCCACCAAACTCCCTTGTTCTCATTCTTTCCTCCCCTCCAGTCACTATCTCCTCAGAGCTCACTCCATGATTTACACCAAGGAATCAGCTCCAAATGGCCCAATCTCATGGGTCATTTTCCTAAGTCATCAAACTTGTCCAATCTCTTGTTTGTTTTCCTAGTTCACATTCTTTATATGAAGCTTGGCTTCAGAGCATGTGATCTGAGTCCTTCATCCTTGCTACAGACGCCCATGACTGAAAGAGCCCAGCACACACCAGGTCCTATGGATGGAGCTATGTGACGATGGGGCTGTGAACAGCCCAGCGCAGGCTAAGAAACATCAACATTCAGGTGAACTTTCAAAAATACATAATCCCTGCATGGCACCGTGGTACACACCTGGAATCACAACTACTCCAGAGGCTTAAGCAGGAGGACTTCAAAGTTCAAGGCCAGTCTGGAACTTAGAGAGACCCTCAGCAACTAAGCAAGACCTTGTCTCAAAATTTTAAAAAAAAAAAAAAAAAAAAAATGGGCTGGGGATGTGGTTCCGTAAATTGCCCTTGGGTTCAATATTCAATTTAAAAAAAAATATTCAATTTAAAAAAAAAAAAAAGTAACAGTTCTTTTGTCCATGACAAAAAGTGAACATGTTCAATAAGAATATTTAACATTCCTATTGAAGTCTCAAAACCACATCCCATAAACTGGGTGAATCTGGCAAACTGATGACTCAGCAAATTGGCTTCTAGGACATGAGTTTTATGGAGATGATTTGATATCAATTGCCCATTCATGAGTTTGTATTTTCTCCACCAAAATTTTAGCTGCTTGCCTCATTCTCCCACATCACAGCTTTTATAATTCATTCAACTGTAATAATGCTAAGAAAAATTGCTAACATTTATTAGTCTTACTTTGTTCCACCTCTAATTTTCTTTCAAGGATATATGTAAACCAGTATTCTTTAGGCCAAAATCATGCACAAAGTTTAATTTTCAACATCATTAATCATCATTATTTGAAGAGTTTTTTTCTTATGTAGTACTTGGGCTTGAACCCGAGGGCACTCTGCCACTAAGCTACATTCTCAGTCCTTTTTGTTTTTGTTTTTTTTATTGTGAGGCAGGGTCTCACTAAGCTGCTGTGACTGGCCTAGAGCTAGCAATCCTGCTGCAGCCTCCCAAGTCCCTGGGATTCTAGGTGAAATTTGAAAATTTTTAGTCAAAAAAATAATCCTCTGGTGCCTCCCCTCACTCCACAAACTCTCAACACCTTACTGATTATCCCTGCCTCCTTTCTTCTTTACTTAATCCAATGTCCTGAGGACATTCCTGGTCACAATCCCTGAATACAGGATCAATGCAACATAGACACTTGTCTCTAGTTAATCCCTATTACTGATTTTCCTGTCAGCTGACCTACATTGTACCCAACCTGAGAGCCCCAGGCTGCATTTGTCTTCTTCACTGTTGTATCTCTGGGATGAAGCATTACCTCTGCACTAAATGGGCCCGCAGAAATATGTCTTCCATATTTGAGGGAGTGATGAAATCTTTCCTCCATTCCCATCATGTAAAGCTTTGTTAATTTTTCTTTTTCCCTGCTTCCAACTTCACCTTCATCCCATGTACAACAGACATTTTCAATTCCCAGATGCAAAACAATCAAACAAAAAACCTTCCCTAACTTGCCTGGGCTGTAGGATCTTAACAGGCTGCTACCCAGTGTCATTCATGATCAGGACCCTTCCTGCTTTTCCATCCTCATCTTCCTTCACTCAATTTCACATTTGTTTCTTCAAGCCAAAAAAAAAAAAAAATGAAATAAAAAATACTGCTCCTGATTGTCTGGACACATGATGTTTGCTTTTTATTTTTAAAAATTTATTTAAATGCTCCTCCCATTATTATCCTGAATAAGCATAGAAGAAGGGGTTTGCTACATCATGGCACATGGCTATACTACTCTCTAGCCATCTCATCAGAACACCAAGGGTACTATTTTTCTCTGTACCCTGTGATACTGCACTGAGAATTTGTGTTTGGGGATGGGAGCAAAGTTTAAAACATTTTTACCCTCAAAGATAACTAGGTCAGACATGGTGGGTTTGTGCCTATAATCCCTGCAACTCGGAGAGCTGAGGCAGAAGGATCACAAGTTCGAAGTCAGCCCTAGCAAATCAGTGAGACCCAAATAGTTAGCTAATTGTCCCACAATAATTTAGCTAATTGCCCATTTTTCCTCCTCAATTTGAAGTATTACCTTCATCATAAAATAAGTGCTTGGATATATGAGTTCTATTAGTGGGTATTATTTCCTATTGATCTATTTGTTGGTTTTGCATGTCAAACACTAAAAGTTTTTATTACTACAGTCCTTTTATAGTGTGTCTTCATACCTTGTAGGCCAATCTTATGGGAAAAAGAAACAATTTTTCTTTTCCATGTTTAGGTCATCAAACCATCCTGAAAGGAGAAGTGTCCAGGGGTAAGAAAGTCCTCTGCTAGCCCGGAGGGGACCACAGCCCAGAGGGGACAACAGCGCAGGTTGTCTTGAGGTTACACAATTCAAGTTCCCTGTACCATGTAAAAGTCAAATTGGATAGAAGAGAGGAAGCCTTTCTGAACATGACAAAAACTATTGACATCTAAGTAATAATCTTATATGGTATCTGGATTGCTGATGTGTGCATGATAGGCAATAAGATCCTTCGAATGTGAGATGCACTCACTCTTCCCACCAATTCCTGGTTTTCAGACGTTATGAAACTAAAATTTAGCTCTCTAGTCCATTAACCCAAGCCATTTTGTTGAATTATTTCTAAAGTGAATTATTTCTCCAATGTCTCCCTTGCTTCAGATTTAATATCTGAAGAAAAATGTTTTCAAACAAGAAATAAGCATTAGAAAAGTTCCAGAAAAGCAAAATGAAAACCTTAATCAGAACTACACCTGAAGATGACCCTGTCATTTGTAGATTTGATAAATGGTGTGCATGTGGTTGTTGAAGGAGAAAAAAATCCGAAAGGAATGACCCAGAGAGAGTGGGGATTAAACAAACCATGGTTTAATCCAAAAGAATGAGATGTCATGTTACCCCAACAAGAGGATTCTCTACAGTTAACTAGGTATGGGGGGTACAGCGTAGAAGGAGAGTGCTATTTACATAAATAGGGGAGCTGTAGTCAGAACTGACTGTGAATTGTGAGCGTAGACTCTGTTTTTGATGTGTGCAGGTTATTTGGTGAAACGACTAGCAGATATCTGGGGAGACGTCAAGATTAGAAAGAGCATTTTAGAGTCATGAAAAAGAAGATGAAAATTGAATCTCAAATGTACAGAAAGCACAGAGAACACAGGCAACCTTGAATCTGGGGGATAAGAAGTAAAAGGAAAGCTGAGAAAATACTTATTCAGAAGATCCAAGAGGTTGAGAGCCCCAGGGTTCAATCCCAGGTGCCAAAGAGAGAGAGGAGGAAGGAATGCACTAGAGAGACTGATTTCTGTCTTCACCCCGCGCGGTGGCGCACGCCTCTCCCTCGCCCATCCCAGGTCCGACCCAGCTCCCACCCCCGCGCGTAAGTGGGTGGCCGCTCATTCCCCTGGAGATGCTGCAGCGATGGCGACCGTAGCAGGTGGTGCAGCCTACTTCCGGAGGGGCAGTCTGTTCTGGTTCACAGTCATTACCCTCTCCTTTGGCTACTACACGGTAAGGGCAAGGGCCACCCATCCAGGGAGCGGAGCTAGTGCTGCAAGGTCTCAGGACTCGCCTGCAGGGGTTCAGCGCAGGCGCAGTCCTGGCTCCAGCGCGTTTGGATGGGGTGGGGAGGGCCGAGACCTGGGGAGGAGATACTGAAGAATTAGTCCTCAGCAGGGCCTTGGGCGGGTGCTCAAGGCTCTGAGAAACCGGCTCGCCAGGCTTTCCCTATGTGGACGCCAGCAAGCCTCCCCACCCGGGAACTCAATGCCTGGGTCTTTCAAGATGGTGGAGGGGAAGTCGGAGACCGGCAGGGATGCTACCTCCTACTTCCGTGTAGCCAGACCCTTGCCCTCGCTTGTCACAGCCCTGACGCTGGGATACTTCTCGGTGAGTCCTCGGGAGGGCGGTAGATCGGTTTGGGCCGGCCAGGCCCTCGTTGGGCGAGGGTTGCTGTGGGAATGAGGTTCTGCGCACGCGCTCCTGACGGTTGCCTGCGTTACTGGTGTAAGCGGAAGTTCCCTGGGCTCTTGGGAAATCTTCTGCTTTAGAGGGCTTCTTCCCTTGTGTTCTGGCTCCCTGTAAGGTTGGTTATTCAGGCTTAACCGAGTCTGAGCCTCTCACAAAGAGTAAAGAAGTCAAGTTGACAGACTTCCATAGCCCTGTCAGCTCAGGATAGGACTTCCGAAGCAGAATGTTTGAAGCAGTTGGAATGGCTTGGAAAATGGGGATAAAGCTGAACAATGGGCAGGATTAAATTGCTCAAAAGAAATAAAGAGGATATAACTAACTGTTTGGGCATAGATGTGGCAGCAAGAAAGCTCTACAGAGGAAGCACGTCTTTTGTAGGGCTGAGAGTTTGTTTAATGGGAAAAATGCTAGGAAATACACTGGGAGCTAAATTGATGTAAATATGAAGGAAGGAAAAGCTATTTGACTATTGCCCAGGAGGGATTCTGAAGATTGGGGAGTCCTCATGTCCACAGTGTTGTTTGGTGTCAAGTGTGACCACTACTGTCCTGATTTCCCCATATGTAAAATGAAGGCATTGAATTGAAACTTTTCAAAAGTGCATTTCTGTTGTGCTATTTTGACTCTCTGATTAGGTGGAATCCAAAGGGGGGAAAGCTTTGAGGACTTCACATGGGGCTATCATGGAGCTGTATACTTCCTTTTATTTGTTTTTGTTTGCCCTGATAATTCATGCTTTGTTTTAATTTTATATGGAAAAGAGCATCTTGGGAAAAATAGTATTTCTCTTGACAGAGATGAATGGACAATAAACTTTGACACTGTTGACAATTCTCAAAAAACTAAGCAAAACTAAGCTGGTAGAGATTACAACATAGGCTGAAGAAAAGTTGATAATTTTACTATAGAAACCTCATGTGTTTAAGCAGTTGCTATTATAACTTCACAAAGTGAATCTTACCTATTTTTCATCTTTGTGCAGTGGGTCATTTCCAGTTTTAAAAGTACACAAGTGAAGGAAGAGACAGAAGTTTTACATTAAATGGGGCTTTGGCTCAAGCTGTAGTTTCTTCAGTAAAAAGCTAGTCAAGGAACATAAACTAAAAAAATGTTAATGACCTCTGGAAAATAATGTTTTGCTGAAATTCATTAATAAGATTAGGAGTTGGCCACCCTGGGCACTGAGTCTGATAACCACATAGTTTCCTCTGCATAAACATCGCAGTATAGTCACTTTTGTAAATTAAAATTTAAAAATGGAGGACCAGAGCGGGAGTTGTGACTCTGTGGTAGATTGCTTGCCTACAGTGTGTGAGGCCCTGAGTTCCATCCTCAAAACCACGTATAAATAAATAAATGTTTAAAAAAATAAAGGACCAAGGGCTGGGGATATAGCTTGGTTGATAGAGTGCTTGCCTTGCATGCACAAGCCTCTGGGTTCAATCCCCACCACCACCACACACACACACAAAAAAATGGAGGTCCAAATGATGCTGTTCAGAGTTTTTATAGTCTGAGTTGTTTTGTAGAATCAGTATTATTTCATAGCTGCTCTCAAAAATAAATAATTGCTGATCTTTTAAATGATCTAAAAGATACTTTGTACTTCTGCTTCTCTTTCAGTGTGTTGTCCTCTGGCCTCAGAGTGTCCCTTATCAGAGCCTTGGACCTCTGGGCTACTTTACTCAGTATTTGGTGAACCACCATCACACCCTCCTGCATAATGGGTAAGGAGAACTGCAGAAGCCAGTTGTGGACATTACAGCCCTGGTCTCACTGGAGACCTGAAAAGCCTGCAATTGCCGTTAGATATCTAACAGTTCACATTAAGACACCTTTCTTTTTAAGATTTCTGTGTTAGATTCCATCAGTTGGTAGCTATCACCTTAAACTAGTCAAAATGTTTTTGTTTTCCCTGTTTCAGGTATTGGCTTGCCTGGCTGATTCACGTGGGAGAGTCCTTATATGCCATGGTATTGTGCAAGTAAGTCTTTGCAATAGGTCTTTGTCACCTTTCTCATGGTATCTAATGGAAGATGAGAGTAGCCACATTTCAATAATTTATATACTTTAGGATAAGAACACTCTCAGGTTAGATCTGAATCCCCATACCTAGTACTGAACCTGACATGGAGTACTCAGTAAATGTTTGATGAATAAATTCAGTTTGTTTGTTAATGAATCATTTATTTAGTTATCTAATTGAGATGACTTTTGTTATGTTTTCAAAACTGTGTGGCCCCAACTAGAACAAAAGGTCAGGCTTCCTTCTAATTTGAAAAAAGAGCTAAGTTATTGATGTAGGCCAATGGTTCACAGTCCTAGTGTCACAACTGAGCCACCTGAGGAGCTTTTATGAAATATACAAGTGTGGTTTCCAGATCCAGAGATTCTGATCTGGTAGGTCTTGCTTCAGACATAGGAATATGATCTTTCTTAAAGTTCCATAGATAATTCTGGAGCACAATACAAGTTAAAAGCCCCTAAACAATGCCCGATTCATCAGATTCCAGTGTAGGATAATACGGTGTGAAAGTACTAGAAAAAAAATTCTCTTTACGTTTGTGCTTTGCATAAGCAAATACAGAAATTATGATACAGAGAATAAGATGATTATCCTAATGCTTAATTTCTTTGAAATTAATATTTTTGTATGACCCAGATTAATTATTACTTCTATTATTGTTGTATTACTTCTAAAAGTGCAAAGTCGGACACTGTATTACCACTATATTTTAATAATAAAAGTAATTAACATTGATTGGGTGCATACCATGCAAGAAACTGCTAAGTATAGATTATGGTATTCTATGTTCTTGTTATTAAACACACTGGGATTTCTACCAAAAGAGCAGAAAGCAACTATGTTCTTTTCACCCCTCTCCAAGTAAATTTACCCCATGAATTTTTCTGTCTCCCCCACACCCCCACTATAGCCCTGGATGAAACTCAAACAGATCTGTGGGTTTTTTAGTCACTATCTGTAATTGTCCACTCTCATCTAGTCTGTTTGTTAAAACTGTAAGCTTCTTCTAATTCAAAATGTCAGCTCCTATCCAGCTACGGCTCAGGAGCCTGCTTGTGGCTTCCTTGGAATGGTAGGAATGGTTAGGGAAACAGGCCCAGTCTCTTGATTAGTTATTTGGGTGCTATCTATGTTGCAAATTCAGTGTAGACTCTTTTTCTCTAGAGGGCCTTTGGTGAATTGGGGGGAAATTGCTTATCATTGTGGATCTCCCCTTGCATTTCCCTTGATGGTTTTTCCTGGTGCCTCCTCCAGCATGCCACTTTGCAGTTTTACCTCTGGACCTGTTTTGAGAAAGACTTTTACCCTTTTATTGAGATCACATTTGTGCTTCATTTGGGCCTTTCAAGCAGGGTTCCTTCAAAACCCACCAGGTCCAGTACCCTTCTAAAAAAATCTGTCTGGCTGATTTCCTTATCTTTCCAGTGTGATCATCTGCAAGTGTGTACAGTTCCCAGTACAGCTGGTTTCTTTGCTCTTTCACCCAGCAGACTAAAACAGTCTTAATACTTTTGAGTCAGATACTAATCCTTTCTTCAAATCTCAAGGGCTCATGTCAATCTCTCCAACTGGTTCTCTTGAAGCCAGTCTCTGGACTTGACACAGAAAATGTCAGAGCATACAGGTACCTCTTTCCAATGGCCTCTTCTGCTTCTCAGTGAAATCTTACCTTGGAGTTGTTTGGCCCAGTCCTTGAACTTAGACTGCCAGAGTATAGATGGCATTATTATAACCATCTTATCCTTTGAATCAGAATTTCTGTATATGCTTATGCAAAGTACAAATATGCAGAGAATCTTTTTCCTAATACAGGTTAAAGAGAATTTTTAAAGAGATCTTTCTCATGTGGTATTAACCTATACTGGTATCTGCTGAATAGGGTCTAGTCTGGGGGCTTTAAACTTGCATTGTGGCCCAGAATTATCTGTATAACTTTAAGAAAGAACATTCCTATGTGTGAAGCAACACACACCAGATCAGAATCTCTGGGTATGGAAACTAGATATGTATATTTTGAAAAAACTCTTATTTTGTAATGGCATTTGGAACCTCTAATGAAAACTTAAAGACTCAATTTAACATTCTTTTATCAGTCTTTTGAAGAGCAGAGGGAGATTAGACATGGAGAAGTTGGTTCTTGAAATCATGGCATAATCTGTTGGAATGTAAATCAGAATAAATACTCCTTTTGAATTATAAGATAAATGACAGAATAAATAAATAAGTGAAAACCTGTAGTACAATTGCAGCCTCCCAAATTCTACTACCCAGAAATAGCTACATGTAGCATTTTGGTGAATTCCTTTTTTCATGCATGTGAATTTTTTAATTGAATAAGTAGTATGCACAAAACAGTGTGGGTACTGAACCCAGGGCACTTTAGGGTCCAACTAAGTTGCTGAGGCTGACTTTGAACTTGAGATCCTCTTGCCTCAGCCTCTGGAGTTGCTGAGATTACAGGCCTGTGGCACTGCACCCAGCTGACAATATCCTTGATTCTAGATAATTATGAGAGGCAGAAAATTAAAATTTACTGAACATCTGGCACCTTGGTATACATTTTTTGTAATTTTGTAATACATTTTTTGTAAATTCCTCTTAACCAGAGATAAGATTGGACGATGTTTGTCTTTATGTCAACCATAATCATAATATTAAGCACCTTTTCCATGTTTTTAACAATTTCATGGTAAAGCTAGGGATGTGGCTCAGGGGTATAGTTTTTATCTAGCATGTGCATGGCCCTGGATTCAATCTTCAGCAATCAAAATAAATAAATCAATTTCTTGGTAATGTCAGGTACAGTAGTACACTCCTGTAATCCCAGGGACTAGGAAGGTTAGGCAGAAAGATCTAAGTTCGAAGCCAACCTCAGCAACTTAACAAGACCCTGTCTCAAAATTAAAAATTAAAAGGGCTGGTACAGCCCTAGGTTCAATCACTAGTACTGCAAAAAAAGATTAAATGAAAATTTAAAGGTCTCCTAAAATCCCCCAAAATAGTCATTATTAAAAGTTTAATGTTTATCATTACGATTTATGCATTTATAAATAATTTTACATATACATAGAACTTCTTCTATTAACAGTTTTCCA